GAGAGTGTTTAGCAATGAGCTCACCCATATGAACTGGAGGAGAACAGGGTCGAACCACCTGCCCCTGCTGCATAATTGATGCCTCCAGGTGCTGTTAACAGGCTTGATTCAATTAGTCATTGCAACTGAAGGCCAAATATAATCAGTTAATTAATGCAGAGGTTAACAGTATGGACTTTGACAGAACAGAATTCTAGGTCTGCCACTTAGTAGCTCTGAGACTTTGGGAAAGTCACCTAAACCATCTTGTCCTCAATTTCCTTACTCATAAAATGGAAATAGTAATAGCACTGGCTTCAGAGAACTGCTAGTAGGGTTAAATGAAAGCTGGAGTCAAACATTTAGCACATTAGCATGGTGCTTGGCCCAAGGCGAAGACTCAGCTAGTGCTGACACTGCTATTGCAATGATTGGTACTTCCACCCAAACTATGTAATAAAGCTCATGTGCCTTGAAAGATTCCTGACAAGAGGAACATCACTTAATTCTCACCCTGCCCCCAAATGTCTAATATGGACCATTTGGACTCTGAATTTTTAGTGTCTATGTTTTATCCTCGAAGTTGCTGAGTGGCTAAAACTGGGGAGAGTCGGTGAGAGAGAGCCTGAGAGATTAAGAAACAAAGTAAATGTTTACCTGCATTTTATGTACCTGGTTTGTTAAATAGCTGCTTTCATTGACTTGACCCAGATTGATCAGTGATTCACAGAAGACCTTGACTATGCTCTTCTCTATATAAAGTTCATTTAATTGCTTTTTGACTGGTTTGATATTTTTGGACTTTGACATTATTTGGACATTATTATCAACTGAAAAATAATATGCTTTGCTCATACATGGATTTCCAAACATATTGCCACTACTGCGGGAAATGTGGCCAGACCTGTGTTTGTGTATATCATGGACTTGCTGCTACAGGACACTTGTTTCCGTTTTGCTTCATGTATGTCTTTGTAGTTTTTGTACACATGCTAAAATGGAAACCCTCTGAGTTCAAAACAACAGCAACAACTGGCATTTCACTTTGTTTTGCTCTCCATCACAAAATGCACGGTGGTCTGTACAACGAGAGCTCTGGAACAGGGGTAGATGGTTGAATGCCTGAAGGGTGGGTTCCTGACCCACATCTACATTCTGTTATCTCAGTGTCTTTTGGAATCACCGATGGCCTCTTTCTTTAACCCCTTAAGACTCATTTCTTCATGTTCTTAGACCACAGGTCTCTGGTTAATATGCATTTGTGTGTATGTGTACATATGTATGTGAGTGTACATGTGTATGTGCCATGTGTGTGACAGAGAAAGAGAGGGGTGGGGAGGTGAGCCCTGGCCTGGGCCTGAGATGGGATTCAAACCTATCCAGGAATTTCTGGTGAATGAAGGACAGATCCACAAGAAGGACTGATTTATATGAAGGTTTAATATGAAATAAAGGCATTTATTAAAGCTTAGGAAGGGGGAACCCTGGGGTCTGTCTGGAGACTTGTTCCACAGCTTCTCTCCCAAGGACAGGCCTGAGGTCTGTGGAGAGAGGGGTTCAAAGAGGGAACCATTTCCACAGGGGCTTGGAATACGACCCAGGGGTCACTGGGTGGCTCGGACATGGTAAGCAACTCTGCTGATAGGGGCCTGTTTTTGCGTTCAGAAACACAAGGAATAAGGATTTATGGTACAAACAGCAGCATTTCTCACAGAGGACCAGCAAAGGGGGCAAGAATGAGGTATCCTATCCAGCAGCTTCTTAGCTAATACATATCACCCGCCATAATGGATAACACATCAACATCATTATCCTCACTGTAGACACTGAGCATGCCCATGTGCCAGGCACAGTGCAAAATACATCTAACCCCATTCTACAGAATGAGATAGCAAAGTCCTCAGTCACTCACCCAGCATGTGATGTTTTTGATTTTAATCTAGGCAGTTTGATTTCAGACCTCTTTCTCTTAATTACTCCTTAACTCATCTTTTGGATTGTATGAAACAAAATAAAGTCCAGATATAGACCCAATATATGTGAGTGTTTTATATATGTTAAAGAGTATAAATTTAAAAAGTGCAGGTAAAAATGGATTTCTAGGTAAATAGTATTGGGACAAATGTGTAGCCATCTAAAAAAGGTAAAGTTGGATTCCAATCTCACATTTTACACTAGGACAAACTCCACATGGATCAAATATATGTTTCAACATATCCATAAAGCCATACATATACTAGAGGAAAACATGGACAAATTCTTTTATAACATTGGTATAGGAAGAGCCTTCCTAACAATGAACTCATATCAGAAAAAAGGACTAATTTCCAATTATATAAAGTGTTTTAAAAATTGGTAAGATAAGGACCAATTACTCAACAGAAAATTATGGAAAGGACATGGGTTGTTGACAGAGAAAAATGCAAATGATTGTTAAATACATAAAAATATTCTCATCCTAACTCATAAATATAGACATAATGAGATATCATTTAAAATGATATTGAGATACTATTTTTTACATATCTGGTTGGCAAAAATCCAAACATTTGACAGCATACTCTGTTGGTAAGGCTATGGGAAAACAGGGCTTCTCACCCTGTTGGTGGGTGTTGACAATTTTACAACTACATGGAAGCAATTTGAAAATATTTCTTTCTTTTTTTAAATTCTTACCCAAGGACATGCTTATTGATCTTAGAGAGGGGAGGAGGGAGGGAGAAAGAGAGGAAGGGAAATACTGATGTGAGAGAGAAACATTGATCGGTTGCCTCTTGCCACCCCGACCAGGATGGAACCCACACCTAAGTGTGTGCCCTGACTGGAAATTAAACCCATGATCTTTTGGTTTAGGGGATGACACTCTAACCAAGTGAGCTGCACTGGTCAGGGCTTAACAATATTTCTTAAAATGCACTGAACTTCTAACCCAATATGTCCACTTCTGGGACTTCATCCTACAGACCCACCTACACATGTACGAAATGACAGACACCTACATTAAGTCACTGAACATTGTTTGTCTTGGCAGATTGGAAATAAACCAAGTGTCCATTATTTGGAAACTGATTAAAGTAGGGTAAATGCATACAATGATATATTGCCTATTTGTAAAGTGAGAGGAAAAATAGGGTTCTCTCTACCCAATGATTTGTTAAAATACACAGGACATATTGTCAAATGAAAAAAAAAAAAAAAAACAAGGCAAAGAAGATATATGGTTTATTACCTGTTGTGTAAAAAAGGGCGAAGCCCTGGCCCGGTAGCTCAATTGGTTGGAGCATCATCCCATGCACCAAAATGTTGCAGATTCAATCCACCCCATCAAGACACATACCTAGTTTCGGGTTCCATCCCCAATCAGGGCACATGTGAGAGGTGGGAGGCAACCAATTGATGTTTCTCACATCGATGTTTCTGTCTGTCTGTTTCTCTCCCTTCCTTTCTCTCTAAAATCAATAAAAAACATATCCTCAAGTGAGGACTTAGAAAAGAGAGAGAGAAAATAGAAAAATATATTTGCATTGGCATATATAAAACTTGATGGAAATGTAAAATAGTAATAGTGATTTTTTTCTTGGGGCAGAGGAGTGGAGAATGGGGTGAGTGGGAGATAGGAGAAAAACCTTTCACTCTACATCTTTTTACACTGTTTTAATGTTTAACCATGAGAATGTATTATCTAATACAAACTAAAAGAACTCCAAGAACTTAATTCTCTATATGTTAATGTTTGTCAGCTGCTTTCCTAAATACCATGTGCTGGTTTTAGCCTTGGATAACATAGGCTGAACTAATGGTTTTGATCTATCTTACAAAGAGTGAACTGATCCCCAAGTTATCGACTGTAAAAATTAGAACAAAGTCTGTTGTATTTGGTCCAGGAGTGGAGGGTGAGCAGGACAACTCCTCAGAAATTTTGCAAAAACCTTATAATTGAATATTACTAGGCCAAAAAATGACAACACTCCAATTTAAAGTTATAAGTGAACTACTCAAAAGAAATGCAGTTCTCCAGACTATTCTAGAGTCAAGATGCAGGTCAGAGTCAACATGGGGCTCTACTGCCTGCTCTCTGGCAGTCAGAAGCCCTCTGCATGTTTAACCCATGTGACGACAAGCAAGAAGTCAGTCTCAAAACTGGAGGCATGGCCAGGGACAAGGAGGGTTGCTGCACACCTCTAGCCTTCATCATTCTTTGAAAGATGATAGAGGGAACTGAAAATTGAGGAAAGGCATACTTGAGTGAAATGAAGAAATGACCTGAATCAAGAAAGTTAAAGGGGGAGAGAGGGAGGGGAGGGGAAGGAAACAAATACTCTTTGAGTGCTGACTGTATGTCAGTATTTTGTTCAAAATTCCCAGCCCCTTGAGGTAGGCTTTATTATCCATATTTTATTTATGTTTATTTTTATTTTTTCACCATTCAATAAACAACTTTATTTTGTATAAAAGGTTTTGTATAAAAAGTTTAAGTTTACAACTAAACTTTTATTAAAAGTTTAGAATGAATAAATACATCACTTTGTGTGCAAAAATAGACATCTCTGCCACTACACAAGGGAACTCTAAGCAGTTCACAAGGTTTCTCTCCCTCCCGCCCCCACACAGCATTCAGTAGGCTTGCATCAAAAATGTAATTTCTGACCAAAGAACTTCATTTAAGTAACTGAATACTGGATCCTTCTGGTATTCACAGTCCACCTTTGAAAAAAGGCAAAGTCTGCTTAAATTGGGCAATTCCTTGTGATTTTTAATGTTTTCGATCCCCATGGTGGGAATAGTATATGAAGAAAAATTCCAATTTCAGACAGGGCATTAAAAATCTTTTTCATAAATAACTACTATCACAGTCGAGGTTAGCAACACCCTGGGGAGGAAGATCTGATCCTTCTTAGTTTTGCTTCCATTTTTTAAAAAGACTCCTTAAATTTGTTGTCCTCCTTGTGAAATGGTTGAAAAGTAAGTTCCTGTGGATTTGCTGTTGTGCAAAGGGAAAAAAAGTCATGAAAACCGTTTATTCAGCCACAGAATGCTTTGCTATCATTTGACATGAACTCAGAAGGGAATTTGGAAGCATGCAAGGACAGGGTGCTGATGTCCGTGTTTAGGGAGGTGAGCGGCGTCCTGGACGCCTGGCTCTGTCCTGGTTGCTGGTGGTGCAGGCTGACAATAATGGGGTGCGAGTCCGGGGCGATCTGCAGGTCCAAGATGTAGTCGACGACGGGCTGCAGATTTCCATCTTGCTCACCTTCTTGTTCGGGGGATGCTGGGCATCAGCTCCTTGAGCTTGGAGTAGCAGCCATTCATATACAGCAGGCTTATCGGGTCGTCCACTGGGGTTTTGCTCCGGGAGATGCCCAGGCTGTGGTCCGAAAGGCTGTTTTTCCTAACCGACCTCGCTGGACTGAAGACTTTCATGCTGACCGCGGGGAAGGAAGGAGAGACCTGGAGGGAGCCGGCTGCCCTGGAGCTCAGGCTGCCCCTGCCTGCTGAGTTCCAGCGCTCCGCAGGGGCTAGGCTCAGAATCTATTATCCACATTTTAAGGCTGGGGCTCAAGTACTCCAAGTTCAGGAAGGTTGTAAGTGATGACGTGGGATTTCTTTGAAGCCACGGTCCATGCTTTTGGTATTGTAACTTTCAAGTTCACATTTAGCAACAGTGTTTCTAGTCATTATCACCCTTTTCCAAATAGCCATTGTTTTTCCTAGTGTTCCCAGCCCCAGCTTCCACCAAGAAAAGCAGCATTGAAATTTCTAAGACCTGCTTGCTGTCTGACTAGAGCTTCTGGGTCACACCTTCTCCTGCATTTTTCCAGCTGGTCCTTGCTCTGTCCCTGCCCTGGTCCAGGTCTCACATGTAATCCAGTTGTACAACTCTTATGGATGCCTCTTGAAAGGACAGCCATACTCTCCCCCGGGATTTTGTTTGTTTCTAGAGCTTTTTCTCTTGAGGAACTCGCCCTGGTACTGTTGGTTTCCAGTTCGAATGGTACCACCACCTTACTAAAAATTCAAGTTGTCCCTTCGTGCTTAGCGTTGCAGGGGGAATCTAGACATCCCCATCCCCCTCCCGCTGATTGGTCTCTTGCTTACTGCTTCAGGAAATGCTAATGTGGTAGAAGGGGCTAGACCTCCTCTTTGATTTAGAGGATTTATCTTGAGGTAGAGAATCTTTCCGACTTCATCTGTTCTTTATGGAATCATGAGTCTTGGTGCCAGCCCTTGAGGTGCCAGGTGATAGGACCAGATTTGCTGCTAGACCCTTGGAATTTCTAGCTCCACGTAAGCCAGCAGACTTATTTGATCTGTTCCTGTATGGTGGTGGCTAATTGAATCGTTGTACTTCAGGTCCAGCACTTCCCAGCCCCAGAGAGACAGCACATCCTCCTCTTACTTGCAACCCATGCACCGCTTCCTGCCTGTCTCCTTTCATATGTGACCTCTCCTGAAATCAATAAAATCTCAAATACGAGTGCACCCAGTCACTTAGACGCCAGTTTTCTGGTGATATTCATCTGACTGAGGTGTAAACATACATGTATATACATGTGTAAAACACAGCACATGCTGGTGTTTATCCAAGTTAATATGGTGCCATCCTGAGGCATTTTGTATGCTTGTTTTTTCCTCACTGAGCATCTCAGTGACTGCCTAGTGACCTTTTGTCTGAAAGAAGGCCGAGCCTGTAAAGTTATCTGTGACTGCTGCTCACATTTTGACTTGTAAGCCATAAAAGGACATCCACAAGTCCTGACTCTGTATAGATAAATTTAACACATACATATGTCTCATCCCCAAGCGCCTCAGATTAGAGGCCTTTGGAAGAACACAGTGTTCATTTATATTCCTCTCATAGCTGGAAGCCGCTTTAAGCTTTACTTTTTTATTGATGAGCCTAGAGCCCTCAGGCCTGAAAGCTCTGTCGCCTGCTGGTCACTCCTCCAGCCAGCCCCTTTCAGGAACCTGTGAAAGCCATTTTCCATCTTGGAATAGTTAGAGTCCTGTGTGGAAGCATCTAGAAAAGATGCCACTGGCAGTTGCAGTCCCTGCTTGAACTCTGGGAAACAAACCGCCCACTTTCCACACTGTTGCAATTTACTGCAAGTCTCAGCATGAGCAGTCCCTGTTTCAGACTGGCACCCAAGTGTCTGGAGTTTGGGAATTTACAATTGGTACTTGAAAGAGCCACCAAAACTTCTTGGAAAAAAAAGTTGAAAGACTTTCTTGCACATGTTGGTACTCACACCTGCCAGGTAATTTATGATGCTAGTCCTCATGCTTGCCTGGATAAGAGTGAGCACCCAGTTTCTTGGGAAGACATTTGTGCCTCTCAGCAGCTTGATGTCACAGCCAAATCTTTGTGGCTTTGCTTTCCTCCACTTGGGAAATTGTGGATGAATGATGGAGATCCAGGTGGGAATGTTCAACGGGTACAAATGAATTTGGTCAGCCATGGGCGAACCTTCCTGTTCTCATAAAAACATTCCCTAAGATTTAAAACTGTTGAAGTGAGAAGTGTAAGTCAAATAATTTTCTACCTTGTTCATTAAGGCTTAGTGCTGGAAACTAATGGAAAAGGAGTTCTCAGCTTAAGGGATGACCCAAGCAAGGTCAAAAGCATGCCCATGTCTCTATACTTAAAGATTCTAAGCCTTCCACGTTTAAATAGTTGTTAAATAAACTTATTTTTATATTATGAAAGTTATAAGATATCTGTAAAATTTTTGAAAAACCAGAAATAAAAAGAAGGGGGAAAAATCCTAATCATCATCCTACCATTGAAAATTAAGTGCTGCAACATTTTGTTGTATTTCTTCCAGGCGTTTTAAAGCTTTGGCTTTCAAGATTTTTTTTTTTTTTTTAAGAAGCTGATTGCCTTGCCAATATTTGCCTCACCAAATACAAAGCAAACCTTATAAGAACTCAAAGTGGTGTGTCAAAGGAAAATAACACTTTTCTCGTTCACCCTGGGCAGAGGCAGACAGCCCTGGGGCCTCTGTCTCCCACAGCCCTTTGAAAAGACGGGAATGAGCCTCCTCACAACTTGGGAAGTAACCTTCCCCCTCTCCTTCTGGAACCTATAAGTTAAGGTTTTGAGGGAGTGGACCCTGGTTCCATTTATGCAATTCTCTGGTAATTCAGCAAACAGGTTCCACCTCCCCTCCCACTGGTCACTGTTGATCAAACATCCCCTATCCCCCACCCTCCTCAAGTGTTATTTATTCTCTGTCTGTCCTCTAAGATCAATCTTGGGAATTAACAGCTTTCCTCCAGAGGAGACAAATGTCGCCCTAACAGAACCCTCGGTGAGTAGGACGCCCGGAAGAGATGCCAGGGCCTGAACAGCCACTGCCAGGACATTTCTGGGGTTAGTTCTATTTCAGGGGAACTAAGCTGAAACTTGACAAGCTTAATAGGCGTATTAAAGACATCTAAACACAGGCTGGAGGAGGGCCATGGGAGTCATTAGCACATGAACACACACCAACTTTTCTCTCCACTCAAACTCCTCTTTACCATCAGGTTCTGGCTGAGAATGCCATGGGAAGACAGGCTCTGGGGTGTCTGTAAAAGCAAGTCCATAGTAGTTTGTGGGGTACTGTGTAAAATGAAATGCCTATCCGTTATCCAAAAATTAATAAGAATGTTGCAGTGATAACTCCAGGGCATTAAACCAAAAAAGGGTCTGTGTAAGCGTGGGGTGCCATGGGGACAGCGCAGACTGCCCACCTGCCAGGCCTCAAGGGAGAGTCAGACTGTTAGTTGCAAGCAGGTGTCCCCCTGTGCCTTCTGCTCTTAGGAATCTGCTTTGCGTCAAGAACTCTACTTCACTTTCTTTAAAATAGGGGAGCTAGAGATGGCTTATGGTGGAAAAAGCCAAATAAGATACTCATGGAACCCTGCCTTTAATAAACTCAGCTGTGTATGATTAATTCAGGGTCAGGGATTAGACCACCAAGTGACAGAGAGGGAAAATACTGACAACTGATATGCTGGCAGCTAGGAGAAGATGAGTAGCTTTATTTCTTCCCATAATTTTCTCAATTACATTCTTTTCCTAAAGTTATCAAGTACTTTATACAAAAGACATTTATTCTGTTCAATCCTTGGGTCCAGGGTCCATTTTGGTTTCACTTCTAATTCCTCCAAGGCACTTAGCACAGTGCTTGGCATCCACTGATGCTGTTGACTGAATCAACCAGGAATGGACAGAATGTCAGGTGCTAGAGAACAAAGGGACAAACAGAGACCTAATGCCTTTATTTCTTATTAAAAAAAAAAAAAAAAAAAGGAAAGAAAGAAAAAGTTGGAAATACAGGAAATGTTTCTTTGCTGTGCCCGGGCACAGCAAAGAGACACTCAACTGAACCATGTTCCAGCTTTGGTGGAGAAGAGTAAACAAGGGAGAGATTATACATAATTACAGACAATCACGTTTCAGGGGATAAACAGCAATCAAAAGCAAGGAGGTGCTGGAGCCTGGCGCCTTTCCAGCTGAAGCCAGGACCCAGCAGCGGAGAGAAGGGCTGTTTCAATTAGTTAGGGGATGGCCTGTGGAGCTGTTCTTTTGTTGTTTGAATTTTACTTTTTCTGCCCAGGGTGGGGTGGCAGTTATGGAGTTGCTTTGGCTGTTCCTTTGGCAGTACCAAAAAAAGCAGTACCAAAACAAAACAAGAAAAGAAAAAAAAAAAATCTTTCCAAAGGAACACCAAAGCCAAAGCCAAATCATTTCAAATGCTTGGCCAGCACAGAGGAAGAAAGGTTTCTGCACCAAAACCTCACCATTTGTTTCACACAATATAGTATAGCACATTAAAATGTATCATTTGCAAAAACAAACACTTAGAGACCAACTTTCTGCAAGAGCCAAAACAAGAGAGCAATGAGATTTTGATGATTCAGGACCTAAAAGTAAATTTGCAAAGAAAAAACTACATTTCATTGGGTACATTTTGTGGCAAGTTATCGAAATACATGCAAGATCTCTGCTGGGCGTTACATATGGGGACTCGGCCTCATCTTTCTCTGAGCTTAGGCAAATTAGCAGCATGAAGACTTAAAAGGATACTATAAAGACTGACTTGGGAATTGGGAAAGCCTGAGTCTGGAGCATGACACTGGCACCTGATGGCTACGGAGGAAGGAGTGAGTCCTGTGCTCTGCTCAAAATCTGCTGTGCACACCCCGAGGCCCCTGTGCATCACCAGGGTGCTCTTTGCCCCTGTGCTTAAGTTAAATGTGTATTTCACACATAATTACGGGGTTCTATGGGACTTCGAAGATGGTATCCACCTGAATGAATCACACTAATCTATGCTGGTTAATTAACCAGGCAGAAATAGCCTGGGGCATTGAAATAACCAAAATTGCTTCGGTGTTGGGACAGTGAACACCTTCAGAGGCTTAACAAGGGTGAG